GAAGATGCTATAGACGATTTTCCAGTGGTAGACCGGGAGTATTTTGAAAATCTTAGCAACATGGTGTTTCAACATGACGGGGCGCCGGCGCATTTTGCACACCAGGTTAGAGAGTACCTCAATGCTAGATTCCCGCGAGGTTGGATTGGTCGGGGAGGACCGGTTCAATGGCCTGCTCGTTCTCCAGACCTCACGCCGTTGGACTTTTTCTTGTGGGGTTACGTGAAGGACAGGGTGTACTTCACTGATTGTCCAACACTTGGAGAAATGGAGCAACGAGTAAGATCTGTGTTCGCGTCAATTACACCAACGATGTTGAGAAATGCGACCCAAGCCGTGTCCCGACGGGCATCGCTGTGTATTCAGCAAGGGGGAGCTCATTTTGAACCGCTCCTCTAAGACTCTGAAGTTATGTGTTGTGTTAGCTCCTCTAAGTTGTTGTTAAGTGAGTGTGTCACAAGTGTTTCGAGTTCCGGACCTGATATGATATCAGGTTATTTTCACGAGAGAATAAGTGGTGAGCTGATTTTCTGTTATACCTACTTTTACCTAGAAATAACACTTAAAATTATTAATCTAAATCTTGTGTGTGCTAGATAGTACATACATACCAACCAAGCCTTAAAAGTATGATAAATACACCTGTTTAATGCTGAAAACTCTTTTTTAAAATTAAACTTAAATTATTCATGTATGTAAGCAATTACCTAGATAGGTAGGAATTGAGGTCGTTCCTTATTATTTATTTTTGATTTCTAAGTTGACTCTAAACTTGATTTTTACTTTGAATTATTAATTGAATTAAGTAAGCTAATCCATCTTTTATCCTACTAAAATAAACACTGGGTTTGAATATTATTATTAGTTGAATAAAAATTAGCTAGATGAGGTACGTACTGATACTGGATACCAGGAGTAGACATTTATTTAAGTTAGTAGGAGGTAATACTACTCCTGGTAAGGGTAATGAACTTTTAAAAGAGTTGCGCTGCAATGTCGATAATTTTATTTTTTTATGAAGAATAATTAAAGTTTCGGCAAATAATAATATTAAGCTACGGTCGCCATATATTGGCAATGAGCTCTATATAAGGGACCCTTCAACACCCTTTTCGCTTTATTTGTATTTTTGAAACACCGTGTATATTTAAATGTATTCTATGCAAGCATAGATAGGTTTCTTAAATAAATATTTATGTAGTTACTTTAATTGGTGTCTATTTATAGTACCAAAATTACTTTTTATTATTATTGCCGTATTTGTGAATTTCTTTAGGTCTAGTACCCATTGGACCCTCAAGATTCGACTCAAAAGCAAAAAGTGCCCATTGGACCTCTTTTTTGGTGTCCATTGGACCTTCTTAAAACATTTTATATTCAATGTGCCCATTGGACCTCTTTTTTGGTGCCCATTGGACCTCCTTAAAATTTTGTGCCCATTGGACCTCTTTTTAAGTGCCCATTGGACCTTCAAGATTATACCCTACTGCCAGTTGGACCTTATTAACAGTTTTGTTAAGCACAGTACAGTCATGTAGAAAATTGTAGACAAAAATAATATTAATAGTAGGTATTATAAAGCCACTAACTAAATACTGTATAAGTACTGACTCCAAACAGTAAGTAGTCCTAAACAAATTATAAAGAAATCAGGTTCCCTTTTTTTCGAATTAACGATATTTCGCCGTCCCCGGAGAATAAAAAGTTAACTACAAAAATGTAAGTTTTCAGGAAAAATAAAAATAACTGTTTTTTGTCTATTGCTCTATAAATACTGGACGCAGACAGATGATAGTAACCTTTAAGAAAAGCTAATTTTTAACACATTTGGATTTTTTAGTAAGGTACTCGTACAGTAAGATATAAGGGAGATATTTAGAAAATAAAAAGTGAATCAAAAGTAATCAAAATTTAATTTGTATAATGTTTATTTTTATTTTATTCATATTGACAAGGAGCCAAAACCAAATATTGCACTACTGATATGTATTTTTATTCTATGGGTCATAAGGGCGCAAGTGACAATGATAATACTTCAATATCTTTTTATTTTCTTAAATATTGTAAAACCTTTTTTTCTTTAAAAGACATTATATATAATGTCCTTTAAAGAACATATATGTTTGTGCTTTAGGTTGAAAGGAATGATCATTAATTACATTAATTTTAAATTTAATTACATTAATGATCATTAATGTAAAAATGTGTCACTCAATCGTACACTGACCAATAAATACCCTTACAGCGCAACATCAAATCCACAAGACCTTTCAAATCGAACAAAGTTCGATTGATTCAAAGTTCCTTAAAACAGCTTGGATCTAGACAATCTAAGCAACATGACGGTGGATTTTGCAAAGACATCATCTTTTGATCTAAGACTGAAATTGTGGGAGGGATGGAGTGTTTTTATTGGCAGTTATACTCCTCTTAAGCACCTGATGAAAGGAAGGTTATAGATTCCAAGCCCAAGCAATCTCTGCGCTTAAACAAAAGGATGGCGCCGATCTCATATGTGGGAGAGAGAGAGAAATATTGCTGTCTCGTTCAGATTTATGACCTATGTTGCAGCTAGAAAATAATCTTACAACCGTAGGCCATTGCTTAGAAAATTACTCACATATGTGCCTTAAATATTTAATTTGGTAATTTATAATATTTTACAAAAGAACACTGTTGAATTTTTTATGGAGGTTGGTCACTACCAACCTCGGTCTTTCTGCAGACTCCAAGTTTTTATGAGATGCAGCGCACTTAATTGTGAATCGTTTGACAAAAAACTAGAATTCTATTTTATCCCAGTTTTTTATATTAAAATAACATAAATCTATCTAATAATTGATTTGCAAATGGCAAGTTTATTTGTCTATTTTTTGTTGCCAAGCATCAAATATATTATGTTCAATGTGTAACAAAAGCAGTGATAATAATTCTGATAATAATCCATGACTGGACTGATTGACTTTTGCCATAGTGATTGAGTTGACGTTATAAGCCACCACGCACTAAAAATATGACGTTACTAAGATAGAGTGGCCAGCATACTTACAGAATTGTTTAATTATTAAACACTATTTTAAAGTAATCGGTAATGAATAAAAAAATCAAGTATCTATTCATGTTATACAAACTTTCAAATTATATATATTTCGTTCCTGCCGGAAACCGACTACCGCTTTTGAACCATATCCTTTAGTTAAAGTATGTTTTTATAATAAGCAATTTCTCGTTAATTGTAAAAATATGATTAGAAAACATTTTTTTATAAAATGTAATATGAAAATATTACATTGATATATTTTATGAATATTTAGAATACATAATAATTGTGCTTCAATAGTTAATCTGAGTGATATAAAAACTGTATGTATAATTTAGTTAAGATATCTGATAAAAAAACATTTCTATTTAAAAGTAAAATAACAAAATCTATGATTTGATTATTATATTATATGGTTTGTTGCTGATGATTGATGGTTCAAATTTTATAAATATGTTGATTTTCAATACTTACATTTCTAACCTTTGTGCTTTTATTCATTTTATCAATATTAAGAATATATAATAATTGTGCTTAATCTGTGTGATATAACAAACCATATTTATAATTTAGTTAAGCTATTTGATAAAAAATAATTTCTATTGGCTTTAAAAGTAAAGTAAAAAATCTGTGATTTGATTATTATATTTTATGTAAATATTTATATTGGTTTGTTACTGATGATTAGTGTTTTGAATTTTATAAATATGTTGATTGAATACTTAGATTTATAACCTTAGTGTTTTTATGTCTTTTACAATATTACTTTACTACACGACTGTACTTTACCGTTCCAAAAGAATTAGCCAAATAGTTAAGAGCTCCAATAGCTCCTATTGTGTCGTTAAGTACGTCTGTGACGGTCCAATGGGCACCATGTTCTTGATAGGAGGTCGAACGGGCACTTTTTTGTAGGTAAGGTCCAATTAGGAGGGTCCAATGGGTACTAGACCTTTCTTTTTCTTTATGGCTAAAGGTTGACTGGCAGAGAATGATTTTAGCGTTAAGTCCGCCTTTTGTCCATTTTTGTATGTGGCAATAAAGTTTAAATAAATCAATAAAAGATCTAAGCTGATGATTCACTAACATTACCTTTAAATACAGTCACGTAGTCAGAGATAAGTTGGTAATGTAGGTACCACTCCCTACCATAGTAGGTTACCACTTCTAAAACTTTAGAAATATGAGGAGCAGAATGGACTAACACATATAAATCTCTCTCCTTCTGTTTCTCTCTCTATCTCTCCCTTTAACTTTGCTTCTCTCTCTCAACTCTGTGTGTATAGACTTCAGCATAATAAATTCTAAAGTATTAAGTATTTATAGCTGAGGAGGCTCAGACTATAATTATGCTATTTGTCAACGTTAATGTTCATTAATACTGATCGTCATTTACGCATGACTGCCTCCTCTACTAAGCGTAATTCACCCGAGATTTTACCAGTCAGTGGGTTAATTGTATTCAAATTTGGTTAATTAATCCTTAAAGTGATTACCTACGCCAAGTTTTGTTACTACACCGATTTCAATTGCAACCAATTTTCGGTAAATGTTTGGTGAAAATCAGAGTCAATAGCATCGTAAACAACTCATAAATGATGTATGCCGACATCAAAGGCCGTGTCAAAGTTTCTTGTTTAATAATTCTCACACAATGAATATATGTAACGTACCCCGTGAGTTCACTTTGTTAGCCGAGAGGATTAGCCCGGTTAAATATGTTTCAGTGAATCTAAATGTGGATCTCATTTTACAAAAAACCTCAAGAAATTCCACACGGTCACTGAGGTCGCTGTAGCATAATTGGTTAGTGCATCTGCCCGGATAGCGGAGGGTGCGGGTTCGAGTCCCGTCTGCTGGCTGGCCCAATTTCCTTTGGGTTTATAAATCTAGCAGTTAAATGCTCAAAAGAAATATAAAAAAATTAAATTCCTTATCATTTTTCTTATGTATTACTTACATAAATATATTTATCCTCCCCTTCTTTTTCTTCAGTCACTTACAATAGAGATTTCATTATGAAAAAATACATATCAATTTTTGTAACATTTTTTAAATATCAAATTTCAAACTAGCTCAGATATTTGGCGATGGCTGTATGTAACACAACAAAATCGCTTACAATGAACAGATTTGTAACTTTTATCACTTTTTATCTTTAATGAAATTGATAATATGATTTATCATATCTTTTGACAACACAAAACTAGGAATTACACGGAATTAAAATTTTGTTACACTCACTTAGATTTTATTTTTGAGCTAACTTACTTGTGTTTGTATTATGATAATATCTTATATAACAATTCATTAACACTACTACAACCAGATTATAATCATTCACTGCTAAAGCTGCATTGTGAGATAACGTGATCAAAATGTATGAATTTGCCATTGACGCCGTCTCTTATAGTTATTATATCTACGTACCTAATACAGCCTACGTAATATGTCATCAAAACCACCTGGTTTCAGAATGCTATCACCTGATAGCATTCTGAAATCTTCTTCTTAATAATGTCAAATTTGGTATTTGTTACATTTTAATTGTAATCCAATAAAAAGCAATCAGAAGAGGGTGTCAACGCATGGTCTACAATTGTTTTGAACTTTACTAAAAGTTAGTGAAATCTCTGTTTTTCTCTCTTCTCAGTTCAACAGCATCACGTCATTTTAAAATCGTAACAATGCTCGTATATTTATGAAGTGAAACTTCTTTACGCACGCTTTACTTAGAGGGTAAGCTGGCGAATGCGTTACGCGTTACGTAAAGTGTGTCCGGGCGAGGCAAACGGGAGTTGAGTGGGGGATATAAGCAAGAGAAAGCAGTGCGCGCGCACATTCTCTTTCTCTCTTTCTCTTATAGCTAATGATTAAAATATGTATATATACATGCATGTATATATTGTACACACACACACACATATATACACACTCGTGTTTTTAAATATATATATATTATATTTATAAAGGAGGAGAGCAGGTGCAACTTTTTAACTACAATTATTATAACATATAACCCGTTAAAATTGTTTTATTTAATGAGTGATGTGCGTGAAAGCCTAAGAAATAAATATATACATTACTTAAGTGAAAAAAAAGTGTTAAGTAATTTATATCTGAGACAGGTATTTATTAAATTAATGCTCCTCCGCAGCAAATAAAGTCGCATAAAACGAAGGCATGATTGCTTTATTATGGAGAACGCTGGCGTTTTACATAAATATTTAATTTGGGTGTGGAAACCAAACCCATGACATTTCACCCTTACGGCCTTATAGGTCAGCAACGTAGTATTAAGTTAGGATTTCACTACAAGACGAATTGTTTAGAAAAAATATACGTACCTACTCCTATTGTTATTAAGTAACTATCTGACTTGGGAATTTGTTAGTTTATTATATTGTTTTTAAAAGCATCAAATTGCTATATTTATAAATAATAAGAAATTTTTACCAGAAATAAATACACTCGGTCCAGGCATCAGACAGGACACGAACCCGCGCCTTCCGCTATCCAGGCGGAAGTGCAGGTTTAAGTGTTTTTTGGAATTGTAAGTTTGTTAGGATATTCATTACTCAATCACAAAAACAACGGCTTGATGAATTTAGATGAAATTTGTCGCCCAGAGCGTAATCCAGGAGGATACTTCTTACTTCGTAAAACTGTAAAGGTTCTTATAATTTTTAATTAATTTACTTGATGGTCTTATAATTAAATGTACTAACCAATAGTTATGTTTTATTTCCCATTGGAATTTAGTAGATACAATACAATACAAAACTCTTTATTTTACACCAAAGTAAACATAAAACATGAAGTACATTGTTTTATATATATATATAGATATATATATATATATATATATAACTTGGAATTTTTTCTAGTTATATTTTCTTTGTGAAGTACATAATTAAAGAATACAGTGTAATAATGGGCGGTCTTATCGCTAAGAGCGATCTCTTCCAGACAACTTTAGGATGAAGAGGACAAGAAAGAAGTTGGAGAGACGGCGGTGCAATTAACTACACAAAACAACATAAAAATCAATCAAACTAATATAAACAAAATGAGTATATAAAACAATACATGTATATATACCTACATGAATATATACATATATAAATACATAGTTATATACACAAATACATCCATGAATACATACGTACGTATGTCGAATTCAGTCAGCTAAGATCAACAAAAATGGAAGGGTTACAAGGATATTATGGTCAGATTAAACAAAGTTTTTGAAAGATATAGATATTTAAAAGTTTTTGTAGATATTATAGCAATTTAATTCTCCCTAAGGATTCGTTGAATTTTAAAGCTCATATCAACGAATAAGCTTATAGTTTAGTTACTCTATGTTTTGTCTCCATTCATTGAAAGATAATTAGCATTTCAGTGATATGAACAAAAGACGGCGTAACTAGTCTAAACTTTTTGCCCGTTTTATTATAAGGGGGCGTGAGTGTACGCCTAAAAATAATTATAAGCAAAAGTATTTCGTAATTTTCCTAAAGACAAGTTTATAGGAGGCGAAATCGAGTGAAACCTAACTCACTGTCTAAATACTCAATAAAAACTTTTATAAAAGCATCTTTACAATGCTAACAAAGAATAAGGAAGAAAAAATTCGACCCTTGAAGGGTAAAACGGAGCATAAAAAAAATTCTTCAGGAAATGTGTAATCGAAAGTGAAACTTTTTGTTACCAAATATCATAATTATATGTATGCACGTAGGTACTCAGTATTTCATTCTAGACCTAATTCCTAGGTTAATGCGGATGAAATCTCAGCTAAAATTTTATAATTATAATTACCACCACAAATATTTGGTCTCGGGTCATGGTTATTTACTTATATACCATAATTTGGGAACAACTATTTGTGGTCATCATATAATTGATACGGGATTCGTATCCTGTAGCCTTTGCATAGAAGGCAGACAGAATCGCTACAGTTGCAACCACCAGTATTTAATTGTATCTTTATATATGTACTAGCTGGCCCAGCGAACTTCGTATCGCCATAAAAATATGGGTGGTGGAAGAGTGAAAATTTAGGGTTCTATGTATTTTTGTATGAAAAAATAAAGATGTTGTCCGATTCTATCTACCTATTGAATATGCATATACAATTTCACGAAAATCGGTCAAGCCTTTTCGGAGTATTTAAATTACGCACACCGTGACATGAGAATTTTATATATTAGATAGATTTATTGTTAAGAGGGTGGCAAACAAGCGTATGATGCTCCTGCTGATGTAAGGCGGCCACCATAGCCTGTAGATGCTTGCGATACCAAAAATATCACTCGCATTGATGCCTACCCTGACCCAATCCCCTACCCCGTGGAGCCCTGGAACCTTACTTACAGACAGAAACTTAATACAACCAAAAGGTAGTGATATTTTACTGTGATCTTCTGTAAGGTGCATGTTACTTCCCCTGACGGGCGCTCCAATTCAAGCGGAAAATCTGCTATGCCCTACCCCTCTTAAAGTATATTGACAAAGAATCTCTCTGGCTGTGGATGACTATGAGAACTTACAGCAACCCAATATCCAATCCTTATGCTGTTTTACAAAGTTATAGATATTATAGAATTAATTTACGTTTTTTTAAATTATCACAATAGGAATTATTTCTTAGTTTAATTTATCTTAAAATGTAACTCCAAAAGATAAATCACGATTACGTGTAAGTACACTTTTACTTATGTATTTCGTCTTCAGGCAAGTTACGGTAAGGTAATAACTGCAATCAGTTTCTATAAAAAAAACAACTTGAAGAGAAACAAGTATTAGTTATTACAAATGTAGTACCTATTGACTGAAGAATTTGAAAACAAGTGTGAGTAGCACAGACTTTAACCACGACAGTAGTCAATATAGACACGCACTTTAACTGTTTAGTTAAAATACTAGTTAGAAAAAAAACAGGTAGCCCCATTTGACGATAGTCAAAATGAGGTTATAAATTGAGAGTGATAATTAGCTGTCCAACCATTGTCCAGTTATAGTTAAATTTAATTTTAACTTTAACTAACTCTGTGGTGCAACTTACACTAAGGCAGCATTGTACTTATGGTTATTTATGGGTACCTGCTGTTGAAACTTCAACAACTATAGCCCACTACACATAATAAACAGTTCGTAAATAGGATAAAATATTATTGCAATGTTGTGCTGAGCTCCGCTTGGGAGTACCTAACAACTTAGATTTTTCTAGTTCTTTTATGAACTTAAATGTTTATCTAGGCGCAGCTATTCTAGGTTAAGCTTCAAAAATACCCGTAATACAGAAATCTTAAAGTTATATAATAAGTATATACATATACCTAATATTATTGTTTATAGTATATTATATTTTACTTTACACATAGTCAGCAATCTGAATAGTTCATAAACTTGTTAACATTTTGTGTAAGAAATTACACAAATATCAATATAAATATATAAACGTACTAAACATATATCATATTATAGCACTCATCAGTCAGCATAAACACAACGATAACGAAGGGCTTGGCAATATAATTTCCTGTTTCGACGATAAAAGCAAACGTTAAAAATCTTACACTAACCAGAACCACGGTTGAATCTCTTCAGCAAGCTTAAATTTGTATATTGCAATCACATAATTTATCAGTCTTAAATATATTTACAAACATCATTAGAACAACATGGATTTTGTAAGTAGTCTTATTTTGAGAAAAAATGCAGGTGCTATTTCATATTTATAATTACCATTTTGTTTCTGAGATAAAATCTTGTGAATTATTGCAAACTAAAATGGCGGTTACTATCCTCATAATAATAATAAATAAGTAACAATATTTTTTGAAGTTGAAGATTGAAATAAATTACCTACAGAAGTTTCGAATTACAATCGTTTAGAAAAGAATATTTCTAGAAGCGTTTATCTTAATTATTTATTTTATTTTTCAGCTTTATCCACATGACGTCCTAAATACATACATTACGACGGTACATAAATCCGTACATTATATGATCAATAACAAAGTGCTGTAAGAAGATAAAGTAGTTCTTTATGATGTTGGCGGTATCACACCAGATTAGATAGTATAACAGCATTAATAACTCTCGAGAG